TTGTTGGTTTAGGACCCCAAATCCGAATTACCCATGTTTTTTGCCCTAGGTTTCCACTCTACACTGATCCACTAAGGGAGTGTGACTTAGGGAGCATAATTTCCGAGTCAAAAAACTAAGATGAGTCAAATACAAATATCATTACATCAAATACAAACATAGCACCGTCATTACATTCAAATACAAACATCATGAGATCAAATACAAACATAGCACCGTCATTACATTCAAATACAAACATCATGACATCAAATACAAGCATATAAAACCATAAATGCCTATAATGTTAAACCATCAAAACATTAAGCCCTTCCCCTGCTTCCTCCGCAATTTATCTTGTATTGGGAATCCTCATAGGACATGTACGTTTGTTGTGACCAATTTGCTTACACAGGCTACATCTACTCTGATTGCTTGTCGGTTGAGACTCAACCCAATCCATCTCATTCTGTATCCTTGACGATTTGGGTCTTCCTTGTGCATGTACCAAAGATGCATTTGGGATAATGGTTGGGCCATCAATTTGTGGAATCAACAACTCATTGCCCATTGGATACCAATGAGCAGCATATACCTTATCAATTTGTGCAATTGAGAACACAGGATCAACATAATCATAGTGGTTCAACTTTTCTACCTTGCACACCGCTAAGACATGACTGCAAGGGAATCTTCTAGATGTGAACCGTCCACATTGACATTTGCGATTGAGCAAGTCCACCCTCATTATGTCACCTGCATCATGAGTTGATTGATTGTAGGCATCCTCAACTTCAAATAGCTGCAGGTCCCTATCAAAAACCCGCACACGGAGGCTCACTGTTAATTGATCATTTTTTTGGATGATATCCTCAACTTTTTTTGCAATTCTCCAACCCTTTGCCTTTGCCTTTTAGATCTTTTCACGTCTCTTGACGAAATACTCAACAAGTCTACTTTGAGTCATCTTCACCAATGCTGTTATAGGCAAATTACGTGCACCCCTCAGGACCTTATTCACACACTCAGATAAGTTAGTCGTCATGTGACCAAACCTCCGACCGTCCTCATCGTAAGACCTGCACCATTTTTCTTTGGGAATCTGATCTATCCATGAAGCTACTTGAGGGTTACTGTCGATAAAATCCTGGAATCTGATATCAAAATGAATCTTTGAACTCAAGTACCCTGAAATACAAAATGATGCGTTAGATACAAAAGGATGAATTATATACAATTTGTACATATTAAAAAGAAGATTGTACCTAGCTTCATCAGGGTTTTCTTTAATTCCACATCTCTGAACTTAGTGTTAAAGTTGCTTCCGATGTGGCGTAGACAAAACACATGATACGCAAATGGTGGCTGCCAACCGGCATGATCTCTTACAGCCCTGATGATGCTGGGATGACGATCGAATATTAGACAAATGCCATGCTTATGCGTGACGTGAAAACGCATGAGGCTAAGAAACCACGACCAATCATCCAATCTCTCACCAGGAGGAACAATAGCAAATGCAATAGGGAGAATGTAACCATCTCCATCTTGTGAAGTTGCAATCAAAAGAGTTCCTTTGTATTTACCGTACAAATGCGTGCCATCAATTTGGATTATGGGTTTACAATATTTGAAGGCCTCAATGCACTGGTGAAAGGTCCAAAATACTCGGTGAAAGACAGCCTTATCCGTATACACTCGACGTTCATCAACACATTGGTCTGTATCAATCTTGAACACAGAACCCACATTAACCTGCGTCATGTATGTCAGCCAACCAGGCAAGAATGCATACGATTTATCCCAGTCGCCAAATAACTTGACAATGGCTTTCATTTTAGCCTTCCAAGCTTTCCTGTAAGATATGTTGTATCCATACAAACGTTGTACCCTCTCTTGAATAAGAACTGGCTTCAATGATGGATCTTCTTTTAACATACCTATATAAAAAAAAACACCGGCCAACAGTCAGAATACAAACTGATTAACGTTAACATACCTTAGGAAGTTAGATATATCGAATAATACATACTGATAATGGTTGCACATATCACATCAGAATCCAACTGTCTATGATCCCGGGTAAGACCTTGGTTTAGGCAGGTGTGTTCTTTAACCCATTTACTAACCACCCAAGTATTTCCATTCTTCGGCAACAATGCCCTCACATACCAGGGACATCCATCATTATGGTGTCGACACTTCATCACAAATCTATGGTCATCACTTTTTGCCACAACGGCAGTACGGTGAGCCTTCATACAATATAATTTGACTGCATGTTGCATTTCAGATTTGCTACAAAACTCCTGATACAAATATAAAGGATCCCCTAATTGCCAGCCATCGTGATCATCATCGTCACCATACAATATCTCCGTCTCATCATTAGGGTGGGCCCAATTAATGAAGGTATAATGTGAGCTTTCATTCCAAAATGGCTCGACCTCAGAACCTACGGATGCATTATAATGCCACCGTCAATACCATTCATAACAAAAAAAATAATTGCTAAATTAAATCTTTAAAAAACAAATCTTACCACTGCTAACAGGGTCAACACGAAGTGGTCTCGTAACCTGCGAACCCGGGGATGGTGAGCTTGTGTCAGCGTCGAAATCACCCTCTACGTCAGTATCTGACGTGTCACCTAGTGGAATAACACTCTCAGGTTCACCGTCCTCATCGCTGTCCATATCGGCATCCTGTTCATCCTCATCTATTTCCCGCAGTGTTATCTGACTTATGACATGTGCAGGTGCAGATAAATCGACTACTCTTTCTTCATGACCAAAATACGGTTCACTTCTTGTATGCATGGGTGCAGATGAAGATTGACCACAATCTAATTCAACATATATCTCAATAAAATTTTGAAATTTTCGGTCAACAATTGCATCTATGACACATTTGACATCTTCATCATCACATATATCGTTACCAATGTAGTAAATAGCATCCTTACCAACTGTTGTCTCTACCCTGGCAATCATCCGTTGAACGCATTGGCTGCCTTGCAAACCCAATTTTTGCTGAATTCTCTCCTTTAACTCATTGTATGTAGTGCCCCGTTTGATTTTCAACATTTTCGTTTTTCCTTCAAATTGAACACCATTGGGGCCTTCATAATGCTTTCCATCATAGTAGATCATTGTCACATACATGTTTGGACTTGTGCTCATCTTCCTCACGAAATTGGGACTTGGGTTCTGAAATTGGGGGTTTGGGTTCGGATTTTGGGGTTTGGAATTGGGCAATGACAATGATTTCACAATATTAGGTCTGTAGAGATGGTGGGATGAAATACAATCGGATTGAGAGGATTACACATGAACAAAGGGAGCTATTTAGGTTTACACAACAACAACAATCGAAATGAGACCGAAAACATGGAAAATATAGGGTTTCAGTCGACATTTAGTCGACTAAATATCGATACTTAGTCGACTAAATATCCCAAAAATGTAGTCGATTAAGATGATTTTTTAGTCGACTAAATTTGCGGAAGTCCACTTTCTGAAGATTGACCATTTGCTCGACTAAAACAGCAAGGTAGTCGACTAAAAGGGGGCAGGTTGGTGGATAGTTCTTGATCAGGGGCAAATTGGTTATTAATTAATTAATGAGGGGCAAAAGGGTCAAAAAGCCGAAAAAAGTGTGTATCCTTTAAAAGGATTATTCTTTTAAGAGACAGAAAAAGTTAGATCATGAGGAAGAGAAAAAAAATTCACTTTTTCTCCTTCATAATTTTTTTTTCTTAAAAGATACAATTTTATATCCTTTAAAATAATACTCATTTTTTGCTTTAAATTATCTTGTTCATTGAACGGTTTACTGTAGAGTGAGAAAAAAGAAGAAGAAGAGAAAACAAACGAGGCAAAATAAACAAAATTAAAAAAAAGGTACTACGTCATGGTAATGATTGGATGACGAGAATTAGTAGGGCGTGAGCAGTGGTGGCCCACAGTGAAAGTCACAGTAGGTGCCATGCCAATGCTATATATAGTTATATCGAGCCAATGCTCCTAACCTCGTCCTCATCGATAGCGAGTAGCCTCTTGTTCGACCCTATCAATCAAACAAATATTTGATGACATAACAATTAACAACTTCAACAACATCTTCGTTATCATAAAAAAACAACAACAAATCGTAACCTCATTCATCATCATCTTCCTCTCTTTATCCATTCTCAATTGTCTCTTCTCGACTCAACATCAATTACGTGCAAAGAATTCATCTGGGTAAGCTGAATTTCGCTTATGATTATTATTATTTTTGATAGAATTTGTATCTTCTTAATTATGTTTGTTCAAGAATCCTGCATTGTTCATTCATTAATCAATGAAGGGTACATAGGTGGTTGTTTTTACCTTTTTCCCATTTGTGTGTGCGTTCTTTTTTTACTTTTGTCTTAGTAATCAGAGCCATGTATGTGCTTACATTGTATCATGTTAGTTAAAAAATAATAATAATACAATAAAGTTAAAAGGAGAGGGTTTAAAACCTTAATCGTGGACCCGTCCTGAATTGGATTAGTTGCGAAGTAACAAATCGATTGAAATATTTAAAAAAAAAAGTTAAGGGGAGAGGGGGTTGCCATGCACATTCACCCATCACCCAAACTTACTAACAATGGAAATTCAACCTAATGGCAGCTGAGCCAAACCTATATGTTGAAATTAACTGATTGAGTTATAAAACTGATAAGTTTTATATAAAATGAAACTATAAGAGTTTAGGGTGGTACTATTAAATGGTTATTGATATGTCATAAGTGATTTTTAACACGACTACTCTGTTTTTGACATGTATTACTTTTTCAGGGGTAATCCTGCACACTCAATGAGTTTATACCTCAAAAAATATTAAGTACTATGGGAACTCCCATACGAAGGTTTGGCTTGGATATAATTTCATTGACATAAATTGCTCTCATGAAAAAAGAAATAGCAAAGAAATTCGATTTACACCTGAATACATATATTTTTATTTTGGCCTGTAGTGGAAATACCAAAAAACCTTATGAAGCAATGAGGCTTACTATAGTATCAATTGCTGGAGTTATTTTGGGCTTCTTTTTAGGAGTGTCATCTCCAACACTATCACTAACTAAGGTGAATAATCTTTCACCATATCTTTAAATTACACTTTCATATCATGTCAAGTGATGTAGCTAACACTGGTGAATTTGTCCCATGTTATTAATTGTTAGATGAATCTCCCATCTAGCATTTTTCCATCCATTGATCTCACATATGTTGAGGACAAGTACTCAAAAATTCAAACCAAATCTATATGGGATGCCTGGGCTTCATTTAGGGGTGACAGAAGCATGTCCAATGGGCTTAACAAATTAAATGAGACAAAGGTATGGTTCTATACTACTAATGTTTGATTGTACTTTTATGGTGTCAAAATGCTTCATCACATCTCATTCTTATTAATTTTCTACTTTATCTTTTTTGGGATTGATGAGGGTGGACTATTATTACAATGTTGGTCTTGTCATTTTCTTTCATAATAAGAAGATGGTCTCTTAACTCATAAATTCTGATTAAACAAAAAAACTTGAGATAGTTTTCTAGAAATTCACAACCTATATTATCTTGTCCTTCATGGTCAAGGCACAGGATTAGGTGCTTGAAGAGCGACTTGTGGACTGAAAGCAATATGTCATTGTCTACTGAGATCATAAATTAAAAATAAATGCTTCAAGAAAAAAGCTACTCTCGAGATGATAAGTAAAACATGATTAGCCTATTATATAACTTGGCTTTAACCATTGATGGTAAAGGCATTATTAAAAGTTGAATGACTAATAGTGTAACTTGATATTGTAGTTACTTTTATAAAAAAAGGGATGACAAATAGTGTTACTTTCTGACAGAAAGAATTTGAGAAAACAGATGTTTACAACTCACTATCGTAATAATCTGTTTTCCAATATTCTTAAGATGATGATCACTTTTTTACATGATGCAAAAAGTGACCAGTTTTAGACAGGCATTGCTGGTTAGTAGTTTCCAAAACTGTTAAACATTTTTATGTCTGGCTGGTTACCGGGTAATCTTTATAACCATGGTTACATATATTAGCTCTTTAATGTCACCTGGTTTCCTTGATTCTTAAATCCCATTTGGTTAATACATTATTTCCATCTAATTATTCAATCTTTTGTCTCTAGCTTAATTTCTTAACAACCTGGAATATATACATATCTGTAATGCCATGGTTTTTTGTCAGGAAACTACTAGTGCATATCATTTCCAATCTTAGCATCTTGCTCTGAATCTATATTTGATTATGATGCAGATTTGGGTTCCTACAAATCCTCGAGGGGCTGAAAGGCTACCCCCCAAAATTATTGAATCTCAATCAGATTTCTATCTTCGCAGATTATGGGGTCTGCCCCAACAGGTGGGCATATTCACTGTACCTTAATGTAAAAGATACATTTCAGCAACAAAAAAAAAAAATCATTTTCACCATAAAGGAAACTTAGTTAAATTTGTAAGTGTTTACCATAGTATCAAAGTATTGAACCTATTACTGAGAAAGTGACTTACATTTGTTTTAGTGGAGGTGACTGAATACAGTACAAAGTAATATAACAAATATTTGTGTAGTCCACAAGCATTAGCAAATGAACCTTGCTCTAGTAAGCTTGAATTTCACATGTGAGGAGTTCCTAATTGAGAACAGACAAATGACAATTTGTTAAACAAGCATGTATGTGACATTAATGGACTCATACAAAGATAAGCTGCATATTCTAGCTTGTTTTATGCCTAACTGATTGGCATTGAGTACAATGTAACAAATATTCTCCGTATACCCAAAATGAAAAAATGCTCCTGATATGGACAATAGGAATTTATAAGATTTTTCTTATGATTATGAGTTACAATTATTTATGGAAAGTTGGTTATTATTTTCAACCCCAACTAGTTCGCAATAAATGTGTTGTTGTTGATGTTGATGTTCCAGTTACAATTTTGTCTTCTCTAATTTGTCTCTTTTCTTGATGGAGGTGGCACTTAGGACCTAACTGTCAAACAGAAGTATCTTGTAACTTTTACTGTTGGCTATGATCAGAGAAACAATATTGATGCTGCAATCAAAAAGGTCATTTCTGTCTGATATTTGTTTTTTTTTTTTTTGCTCTTTATATGACTCTTGTACTTAACATTACAGTTCTCTGACAAATTCACCATTGTGTTGTTTCACTATGATGGGAGGGCTACTGAGTGGAATGAGTTTGAGTGGTCAAAGCGAGCAATCCATATTAGTGTTAGGAAGCAAACAAAATGGTTGGTAATGGAATTCAGTAGTGTTTTTGTTCCAATTTATAAATTGTAACAAGTTTTTCTCAGGCCTCTATTCATCAAGTTTTAACATAAAATCTTGAAATTTGGTTCAAGGTGGTATGCTAAACGCTTTCTGCATCCTGACATTGTGGCACCCTATGACTACATTTTCATTTGGGATGAGGATCTAGGCGTGGAGCATTTTGATGCAGAGGAGTAAGTATCAAAATTCAAAACCATCCCTTTAGTGTAGGAATCAAGGTGTTGGTGAAAATTTTAATAATTTTTTTTTTATTTCAGGTACTTGAAAATGGTAAGAAAACATGGTTTGGAGATCTCACAGCCTGGTCTAGACCCGAGTAGTAGTTTTACATGGCAGATGACAAAGAAAAGGGCTGATGTTGAAGTCCACAAGTAAGTGAATAACTTAATTGTTTAATTTCATGTATTAATTAAATATGTTATCACTGCTTGCTCATTAACAACAACAATAACAAAAGTCTATTCTTACAAGTGGGGGCTGGTTACATGTATTAAACAATGCCATTGTGCTCTATATCAAATTTTTGGAAAGCCCATTTAGACTAAGATATTTTTTATTGGTTTCTCTTAAGAGTTTTCCTTAGTCTTCCTCTACTTATGTTTATTGAGCTATTCTAAAGCAATTAATTCAATCCAAAAGTTTAATATATCATGTAAAAGCCACATTAATAATTTTATATTATATTTCTCTAATACTCCTCCTCACAAGTCCATTTATATGTTTTAAGAAACTTCATAATATTTAACTATTTATTAATAGAATAAAGGCTTGTCAAGATCAAACTTGTAACTATTTGGTCACAGATGCTGTGATGTCATATTCAATCCAAAAGTTTAAATTGTTACATAAAAGACACATTAATGGTTTTATATATATTTCTGAAATAGCTATCCTCTATTAAACAGTTATCTTGCTGCTTACTCATTAACAACAACAACAATAACAAAAGTCAATTCCTACAAGTTGGGGTTAGTTGCATGTATTAAACAAGGGGAGGGTGTTATATTTACAAACTTTTTGTTTACAAACTCTTACAAATTATATTATGTTCTCCTGAGAGAACACTAGGTTGCACTATGTTCTCCCGGGAGTACATAGTGTAATTTGCAAAAATTTGTAAAAAAAGTTTGTAAACGGATCCTTCCTCATTAAACAATGCCATTGTGCTCTAAATCAAATTTTTGGAAATCCCATTTAGACTAAGATCTTGTTTATTGGTTTCTCTTAAGAGTTTTTCTTAGTCTTCCTCTCCTTATGTTTATTGAGCTATTGTAAAGTAATTAATTTAATCCAAAAGTTTAATCTATCATATAAAAGCCACATTAATAGTTTTATATTATATTTCTCTAATACTCCCTCTCACAAGTCCATCTATATGTGCTAATAAAATTTATAATATTTAATCATTTATTGAGGATCAAACTTGTAACCACTTGGTCACAGATGCTCTGATACCATATTTAACCCAAAAGTTTAAATTGTTAGATAAAAGACACATTAATGATTTTATATATATTTCTGAAATAACTATCCTCTATTAAACAGTTGTCTTGTTGCTTACTCATTAACAACAATGTTGCAACCCAATCCAATGGGCCTAAGGAAGACAGGCCCAAGCGTATCAGGAAGCAGCCTCCGTACTTATTGGACTATTTTCAGTGACCTGACCTTTAGAAGGAGTAACTTGGCCCAACTCACTTGGCCCAGTTCACAGTGATTGTATGCCTTTTGATATGATCAATGTAATTCAGGAAATAGGATAAACTTGTAAAAGCTTTTATATAGCCCAAGGGGGGCGTGAATGAAAATCAGAAAATGTTTGACAAACTTCTTTCTCTCTAATTCATCTATTTTCTCTCTCTTTTCTGTTATCGTCTCTTATCTCATCCTCCCAGATCTAGTGACTCTACAAATTGGTGCTTTCATCAACCTCTTCCTCCCTTTCAATGGCGGAAAACACACGTATGCGTGATCTGCAGCAACGATTGGACGCTCTCGAGCAACAATTCAATACTGCTGAATTGATCCGTGAACAACAACACGTTGATCTCCAAGAAAACCAAACCCAGCTGCATGACGCACATCAAGAATTACAGACTTCTCACAACCGCTTCATTCAAGATCTCACCCAATTACAAGAATCGCACCATAACACACGTGGCATATTGGGTCACAATCCTCCTACAGGTGCTAAACAATCTAGGTTTCGCCATGTCAAGCTTGATTTTCCACGTTTCTCTTCTGGAGATCCCACCACTTGGATCACCGCCGTGGAACACTATTTTTATTTTTACCAGGTTGCTGCCCTAGAACGGGTAAATCTTGCTGAGTTCCATCTTGATGAACCTGCTGCCAGTTGGTTTTACGGTTCAGATAAGAATGGCTTATTAACGGATTGGCGTATTTTCTGTACTGCGCTTCACCGTCGTTTTGGGCCTTCTGAGTTTGAAGACCCAGCTGGTGCACTGGTTAAAATCTAACAAACTGGCTCTGTCTTGGATTATCAATCTTCCTTTGAGAAATTGGTCAGTAAGGTACCTGGTTTATCAGCCACATTGTTACAGAGCATTTTCATTTCGGGATTGAAACCACTCATCCGCAGATCAGTTCTTACCCTACGACCACAGGATTACCATGAGGCTTTTTCGTTAGCACGTGTTTTTGAGGATCAGTCAAATGATCACAAATTCTCTCGTCCTTGGCAACCTGCCTCTAAACCAAACCCTAACAACCAAAATTCAATTACCCAGTTCCCTTCCAACCCAATCCCAGCAATACCTATTCGACGTTTGTCCCAAGCTGAGATGCTGGCCAAACGAGAGAAGAACTTATGCTACAATTGTGATGAGAAATATTCTTTTGGGCATAAATACAAGGGGCGCACTACATTATTGTATTTTGAAGGCACTGACGAAGAATATACCTCATATGTCATTCCAAATACAGATGTTCCCGTGGCTGAGGAGCCACCTCCTGAAATTAGCTTTCATGCCATTTTTGGCAACCACAACTCACACTCATTTCGCCTCACTGGGGCCATTAGAGGCAAAAATGTGCAGATCCTAGTAGATGGGGGCGGTACCCATAATTTTATTACTGCACGTATGGCCTCCTTTCTTGGCTTAACACTTCACCACATTAAACCTTTTCAAGTGCAGGTGGCAATGAGGATGCTTTGCAGTGTTCCGCTTCTTGCCTTGCGGTCTCACTAAACCTCCAATCCTACACTTTTACTGTGGATTTGTTTGTTTTGGATTTGAAAGGTGCTGATCTTGTGTTGGGGATCCAATGGTTGGCCACTTTGGGGCCTATTATCACTAATTATTCTCAGATGACCATGTCCTTTACCCATATGGCACACACTATATTGTTACAGGGCAACCTAGCCATTTCTCCATCTCAAATTACTATTGCTCAATTCCACAAGCTCATGTCCCAAGATTTGGTATCCTCATGCTTTATGTGCCTCAATAGCACCGCTTCACAACCGTCCTTTCCCGTGCCACATGACCCTCCCCCTCCCTTCATTTAACATATTCTAACTGCTTTCCAAAATATTTTCCATGACCCCACCACCCTACCACCTGACCGCACAACCAATCACCATATTAATTTGTTTCCTTTCTCCAAACTCGTCCAGGTTCGCCCTTACAGATACCCTCACTTCCAGAAGATCGAAATTGAACGTATGGTCAGTGAGATGTTGGCCACCGGTGTGATTCGTCCTAGTCAATCATCCTTCAGCTCCCATGTGCTTCTGGTTCAGAAGAAGGATGGCACATGGCAATTTTGCGTTGACTACCGTGCCCTAAATGCTATTACAGTCTCGGATAAGTTTCCAATACCAATAGTGGACGAATTATTGGATGAACTCCATGGGGCGACAATTTTCTCCAAACTCGATCTCCGTTCGGATTATCATCAGATTAGCATGCATCTATCTGATGTACATAAGACAGCCTTCCGCACTCATTCTGGTCATTTTGAGTTTTTAGTGATGCCATTTGGCCTCTCCAATGCCCCTTCAACTTTCCAGGCCACTATGAATTGTGTGTTCCGCCGGTTCTTGCGAAGATTTATTGTGATCTTCTTCGATGATATCCTGGTGTACAGCCCATCTCTCCAGGAGCACGCTTCTCATTTGAACTAGGTTTTGTAGACCTTGCAACAACACAATTTCTTTGTCAAATTAACCAAATGTTCTTTTGCTGTGCAGACAATCCAATTCCTCGGCCATATTATTTCGGCTGATGGTGTTTCCCCTGACCCCACTAAGGTGCAAGCGGTACGTGAGTGGCCTACTCCTCAATCGGTGACCCAATTGCGGGCCTTTCTAGGCCTATCTGGTTACTATCGTCGTTTAATCAAAGGGTATGCCACCGTTGCAGCACCGCTTATGAATTTGCTCTCTAAAGATGCTTTTAAGTGGACCACAGACGCTGAACAAGCCTTTGTGACTCTGAAAGAATTAGTGACACATGCCCCCATTTTGGCTTTGCCTGATTTCACACTCCCATTCATTATAGAGACAGATGCCTCCGAAGTGGGCATTGGGGCAGTACTTTTGCAATCGGACCACCCCATCACTTTTTTTAGTCTTAAACTATCAAAGCTCATGCAATCCAAATCTATTTACTTCAGAGAAATGCATGCCATAACCTCTACTGTGACTAAGTGGAGACAATACCTCTTGGGTACGTCCTTCATCATACGAACAGACCACAAAAGTCTGCACCACTTGATGACCCAAGTGATACAGACCCCAGAGCAGCAACAATTCCTTGCGAAATTGTTGGGGTACCATTATACCATACAGTACAAACCAGGAAAGACAAATACGGCTGCTGACGCTCTATCACGCCAGCAGGAGGGGAACTTGATGGTTTCATCCTCCCCTGAATTCATGGCAATAAGCAATCCTATAGCTGAGTACAGTTTAGTTATACAGTCCGAGTTACAACAGGATTCACATGCTACACATATACTACAGGAATTACAGTCCAATCCTTCTAAATATCCTCACTGGCAGCAGCTCCATGGGGTCCTCTTTCATCGTCACCGAGTGTATATCCCTCCAGGTTCATCCTTAATCCCCACCCTTCGCCACGAATTTCATTCTTCCAAGAATGGCGGTCACGTAGGTGTACGTTGTACGCTCCTTCGGCTTAGTGCCACATTTACCTGGAAAAGCATGAAAACAGATGTTCAGAATTTTATCCGAAATTGTGAGATTTGTCAGAAAACAAAATCATCGAATCATTCGCCCTACGGTTTACTCCAACCACTCTCAGTCCCAGCGGACATATGGTTCGATCTGTCTATGGACTTTATAACCCGTTAACCCAATTCCGGTGGGTTTACAGATATTTTA